CGACGTCAAACTCAATGAACCCCTTTCAGGGCAACTCAGAAGGCGAGCACTTTTGACGACGGACGGGGAAGTCCAAGCTGTGGAAAATAACGGTCTGATTTACGGGGAGACTCTAAGTTCGCCGGGATCCGAATTTGGCGGGTGCTGGAGTAGCAAGGAACCTGTTTTCGCGCGGCCGATGTCAGTGGAAGGGAGCGCCAGTGGGTGCACACAAGGAACGCTCTATTTGGGCGCACAAAAGGAAGGCTCTGTTGTCGTTGAACGAAAGCACGCGCAGAACAAAGGGTAGTGGTGGATGCACCACCACACAACCCGGCGCAGCGCGACCCCAAACTGACCCCTATAAACACCGATTCTCACCATCGTCTACGTGAGCTCGTGCGGTGTTCCATTCAAAGGTACTAGTGCAAGAGCTTATCGAACTCGGACATCTCCACTTAGTAGAGAAGAAAAATGTAGAAATGGATGAAAGATCCCCCCTTCAACCCTTCCAAACATTGATTCGGTCAATCGACAAGGCGACCCCCAACTCGCGCGCCTGGAACGCCGATGTGCGACAACGTGAACAGCATAGCACGCAGACACACAAGCATGTCTGCGACAATACTCCGCGCACCGCGACGGTCAAAACCCTTGGGGGGCAACAAAGATCGGGGGTGCGAAAAATTGTTCGCCTTCTGAAATGCCGTTGAAGGGGTTTATGGGGTTTGCCGACGGTGACAACGACCGAGTTCCTTATTTTCGGCAACCCCCATACACCCCTTGAAGGGCATTTTAGAAGGCGAGCAATTTCTCACACGCACAGTCCTCTCGCAATCAACTCGCACTCGAAGCTCCAAGCGTCACGCGAAGGACGGTTGGATATGCGCCCATTCTCAAAGTCCGCCAGGAGACGAACTTGGTTGATTCGCCTGTAGCGATTAACAGGTCTTCGCGCGGCTGCAGGTATTGGAACGGGTGGTTTGCGTTTGCAAAGAAGCAGGCGATGCTCGGGCGCACCGCATTTCGGGGCGGTGATGAACGAAGATCCACGACATACCGGAAATGGACCCGGCCAGTGACACCGACGTCAAAC